CATATCGGGTTTTGATTCGTTGGAACATGATTCCAAATCATACATCCTAATTGTTTCTACAGTTCTGTTTGAGATGAAGGACTTCCATCGTGATGCCTTAATTCAGAATATTACAATCATAGAGTCGATTCAACAGAAATTTTTGATTGCAATCCAGCATTATACGCACCTTTTCCATAAATCGTGTAAGTAACAGAGCATCGCAGAGTTTCAAGCGTGAGAGTGGTCTTCTTTAACCTTTCGCTTCGAGCGCCGGATATATTTGTCATTTATATAATGTGTATACAAATACCATCTGTAGTCAATGATAAATTCTTCGTTATCGGCAGAACATTTTTATTGATTTTACTGATATATTGAATTAATCATATATTAAAACTACTCTTTGTCGTTACGACATCGAAACGAATTACGTAATATACATCAGGCATCAAAACAATCGTTTATTGTTTTATTCCAAAAAATCTATCAAATTCATTCGACAGTAAAACGATAATTCATGTATGTTTTTTTAGAGAATTAAGAATAGATCGACTTAAGTTATAATTCTTAATCTTTTAAAAATTAAAATAGGTTGAGGTTTTGTTTGAAAATTTATTTACAGGGACAGTTTAAGAATGTATACAGGATATAAAAAAAGGATTATGTTTCAAAACGAAGAAGCCGATTCAAAAAATGATTCGAATGAGGAAAATGAAAATAATTTCCATCTGCGTAAAAGACAACGAAGAAATACATGCAAAATGGACATCCAATAATTTTATACTAAAAATTCATCAATTTTCCTCAAAAAATTCGGGAATGACAAAGAAAATACATAGATCCTCAAAAATTATAGACTACTTCAAGCTATTCATTTCTCAAGAGCTCGTAGAATACACTGTATTTGAAATAAATTACTATTGGGCTTAGAAGAGTAATTACAATTTTTTCTGGATAATTACCAGGAAAAAGAAAAAATGGTAGTAGAGGAAATGTAATATTTTGTTTCATCATTATTAATGTCATTACTGACAAAAAATTACAGTTACAATTATACATGAACTTGGGTACATTGATGATCGCCTAAGTAAAATAAGAAACATAATCAATATGCTGCGAAAATCGTTTATCCTTGTCAACCAATACATTCCGTCGAAAAGGAACCGATTTGGCATAAAATCGTATATGATTTGTGATTGTAAAACAGGATATGTACAAGACCTAATAGTTTATGTCAGAATATCAACGATTACAAAAAGTGAAATCACAGGAATTGAAAAATTGGGGGAAATAATTTTGTCATTTTTGAAACCGTACCTAAGGAAAAATCATATATTTTGCGTAGATTATTTTTATTCAAGTCCCGCGTTATTTATCTTTTTAATTTACAATAATTGTACCAATGCATGCGTGAAAAAATAATGAAAATGAATGCCAAAGATTGAAGAGAAATTGAAAAAAGAAGAAACATGTTTTCAAAAAATTTGTTAGTGATGAAATGGATGGACAAAAAAGAAATCTACATGATTGCAAATATGCATACTGAAGATTTTGCAACAGTATCGAGATATGGAGGGAAACAGTGTGCAAAAGCCTATATGCGTTATAAACTATAATAAGTCAATGGGCATAGTAGACAAGGTGGACATAATGATAAGTACCGTCAATACTATGCGAAAATCATTGGTATCATAAATTTTTCTTTCACTTCATAAACATTTGTATGTGGATATTATCTTTATAAATACAAACGGAAAGAAATCATATCCATGGCAAAATTTCAGTTAACGTTGACAAAACAGATAATCGCAAAATGCCATCATAATGTATTAAAACAGATCCGCTGATAATCCCGTGAAATTAACGGCATTTCCCCTCACTGTATATATCAAAAGTAAAAACCGAAGCCGAAGATGTGTAGTGCATAGTGAAAATGATAAAAGATCCAAATCACGATATGAGTGTAAAAATTGTAATGTTGGCTTATGTATAGATCCTTGTTTCAGAATATATCATACAGAATTATATTACTAATCTTTACATATTAATATATTAACTAATTTGCGTTACATTATTAATTATATTAAAAATATGTCAACTATAATTGGTCTAATGTTTTTAGAATAACTAATATAATTTTGTATAAGTCTTTTCATATTAAAAAAATGAATTACACGTGTTATATTAGAACAATTGTTTTATTAAGCACAATTGATATTTAAGAAAAATGTATATATAAAAACCATGCGGACTGTGCACATTTCTGGCTTCTGTTCAGTGACGGCATTTCAACGGATTATACTGTCGAAGCGAAAGGGTTGGTTAATGATGCCATTTTTGATTTGGAAGTATATCCATTATTATCTTGTGAACGTAAATAGACGCAGGTATCCTTTTCCGTGGCATCACAAAATCCATATAATTCGATTATCCTGATTGATTGTAGCTTGTCTACAATATTATTAATTAAATTTTGTTCAATTCGGAAATTTATCCACAAAGTATGAATGTCCTGGGGAAGAGATTCGTTTCAGGAAATTTTTAATTGCTATAATTGTTGTGGCAATAATTTCACGTGAAAAATAATTGGTCTTAAAACCTAATATCTGTGATATATTGGAGAAGATGGTGCATTTTGTTACGCGAAATTTATCGAAAGATTTTACAAAATAATATATTTAGTATTTACCTTGATTCGCATTCCACAATAGTCTCAGTCATCTTGACGCCTGTTTCTGATTTTTCGCCGTAATTTAATATTCTAGTATTATTGCTAGTCGAAATGTAAAATCTATAGTACGTAAAATTGTGATCGACTCATCCTTAATAATTTATGTTAGATCGTCTGTTCCTGTTAACAAACATAAAAATTCCAAAGAATGACTTGGCTGGTTGTTAGGGAAGTTGTCGTTGTAATTTTCACCCTGCTGTCGCAACGCTTTGGTCGCTAAAAAAGATGCCGATGCAATTCTATAAGTTCTAGTATTCGCTTCGTAAATTTTCTGTGTTTAGACAAATGAATATATGGTATCCAGACATGCACAAATGTTTAGGATAATGCAGTTTATAAGTGAAAGTTTCTATAAACATTCTAAACATATGCGGAGCAACTTCTTGGGTAAACAAGAGATCTATGAGTCACCTCCTCTCGAACTCATTATAGAGAGCTTTCCTTGGACTGAATTAGAGTTCAACCAAAGAATCAGTCACCATCGTTATTGGATACCTGCGTTCCTTATTGAAGACCCATAGACTCATAATTAGAACATGATGGGGACTTCAAAGCGCTACCAAACTTGGGGAGAACCTTTATAAACCGGATGAGAATCTCAAAGACTTCAGAGTTACATGGAACATCAAGAACTTTCAGCACCTTTAGAACTCCTTTAGAAGAATATACCTGTGTTCTTCATTGAAGATCCATATACTCATAACCAGAACATGGTGGGAACTTCAAAGCGTCCCCAGGTTTAGGAAGAACTTTTATAAACCAGATGAGAACTTCAGAGTTACATGGAACATCAAAAACTTTTAGCACCTTTAGAACCTTAGGAACTCAAGAACTATTCGCACATCCTTCTCACTACAGAGAAGGAACTCAAGATTATTTCAACACAAGAATCACCGAGATTACGTGAACTTATCGAATTTGTACTTTGTACTCTGTGATACTGCGAACTATCACTTACACTTACAGAGATTTTACCATGTTTGAAGTGAACATACTTAATAACGAACTTTGTAATAATCATTTATTACAAAATTCCATAGCTCCACGAACGGATTGGAGCTAATATTCTGTTTTGTATGATCTCCAAAGTATGCGCTGAAGACGATCCTCTTCATTAACAAATATTTGTCGGTACATTTTTTTTGATATCAGCCGATAAGACATATTTATGTTTACGAAATCTATGAAAATAAATCTTATTGTATCGTATATTGTTAATAGATAATCCTGATGTAGTTTCAGCAGAATTATTAAATACAACTTAGAAATAGATTGCTTAAATACTACATGATGTGGCAAAAAGTACATTAATTTATTAGGTTCAAGATTTTTAATTTTACGCATATGTCCTAGCATTTCGTATTTCGTCATTAATTCTATATATTGCTGTTTTAGATCCGGATGTTTATTCAGTTTCTGTTCAATTTCTGATAAGAATTTTGTATACCTGTTATCTCTTAAATTCTCTAATTTATTTACCGTTTTCTTAAATGGAATCCTTACAAAAAAAACGTCCATCATTGTCAATATAATATTCTGTACAAAGTGTTTTACTATGTTGAATATGCAGAAAGACATGCTTCTTTTCATAAATTCTGCAATATACATATATTCTTTGTTTGAATAAGTACTTACACAATTAAAACACACGTTTATTTTTTATACCTGCGTGATACGTGCACTTGGAAAGATAAATCTTTTTAAATCAGAATATTGCGGAAAATTGTATGATTTATTATACAAAACGCAAAAAATTTGTGGGATTGTAGTACATACGACTATTTATCACATCAAGGTTTGAGTATCTATGTTTATGGTTGTGGCTTGGTTGTGAAAATGATTTTTCTATTTTTACCTCCTCTAAATATCTACATTGAATTTCTATAAATTTTGTTAAATCTGATAATTTAACATCTCCAATTATACTTGATTGAGTTTTTCTCATTCTCTTTTCGTCGTTGTGTCTAGTTTAGATGTCATCAAATGAATAATGATGATGTTCTAGGAATTTATAGGTTCTCTTAATGCCAATAGATTATTGTTTAGTAACTGTCTTACTTCATAAAATGATTTCTCATTCAATACAGATATGTCCCAAAGAGTATGTATGATTTTATTTCACGAATTTTTCTCATCAAACTTGTTTTTAAATGCTGTTCATGTATTCGTGTTGTTAGAAATGTTGACAGGTTGTATAACTTCCGCTACATCGCTCTTGAGAGAACAGTTCAAATAGAAATTTTTAATATTTATCAGTGTATCGTTATTGTGTATCAGTGATTCAAACATAAATTTATCCAAAGATTATAATTTTCCATCAAAAATCGGTAATTCTATTGTTAGTGATTTTATTTTAGAATGTGTTTTAGAACTATTATTTGAAGTTGTAAATGTAAGTACGCCAGAAGATACAACAGAATCAAATTGTTGTCTGCCATTGGATTATAAAATCCTTGACAGATCTCGTAATATGAGGTTTCAAATATTTCAAATATTTCGTTCTGCAGCTTTAAAATGTGCTTTAAAATCTGTATTTTCTACCTTTTCTTCTATCTTCTTTTGAACTGCATCAAAATTTTTAAAAATTGGGATTATTTCATGTATATTTTCTTCAAGCTCGAAGACACCCGAAGTTGGATCATATTTTTTGAAATATGATTTGAAACGAGTCAATTTAGATTGAATGAGAAATTTCAATTCTTTGGTATCCATATTATCTTAATAAAAGAGACATAAAGGTGGATTAAAATAGTCAAGGCGATATCACTCAGCTGGTATGTCCTTTATTGTATGAAGACATTTCAGTCCGTTGATTTGCAGTTCAGCAAAATGTTCAGCAAGCGTCCTTTAAGATCGAATGCCTGGCAGAATGTCGAATAATGTTATTATAATGTAATTATAATTTAATAAATAAGTCTTAATCGATATTTTTATATACCAAATATTATATTTATTTTAGTCTCTAGAATTCTCCAAAAATGTTTTACGAATATAATAACATTCTATATAAAAGAAAAAACTTTATTAAATGATATAGTATATATAATATATAATTTGATGGCAATTTTAAAAATGTTTTGCTCTCAGTTTTTATTGCAGATTTTTTATTGCTTTTACACCATACAATGCCGATAATTATTGAAATTTAACCGCTACATAATAGTTATATAATAATAATTAATTATATATATAATTAATTAATTATTATATAATATTATATTATATACATGATATATTTAATTAATTATATTTATATTATATACATAATAATTATACTTACCTTTACATATGTCGGAATATAGTAATCTCTTGTATTATTGTCTTTTCTGTGGCCATAATTTTATTCGCAATTATTTTGAACAAAATTTTTTATACCAATGATTCTTGCAGTGTACATATATTAATTAGATATATATTGTATATACACAATATATTTACTATTCCAGGACTATAAAAAAAATAAAGAGACTGAAATAAAAATTTAATTAAAAAATATATATATGTAAAAGAATAATAAATTAAATTATTTACTAAAATAAAAAATTATATTTTTATATTTCGTTTATTATTTAACATAATGATATAATTAATATGTTCATCTATAAAAATAGTATATAATGGATGTGTGTTTTCCTCTTTTGAAATTGAATGAGATTTGTTTTCTTTTATATAAATGTATCCAAGATGCAATTCTTTCTGCAGACTGATGATAAATATTTCTGCGCAGGATATTTCGAGAATATTTCGTTTCTTCATAAAGAAGATACAGATAATACTAATAAATAAATTATTGTTGATATTTTTATAATATTATCAATTTTTTTTATTTTGCTGCTCAAAAAAAAAAAATCCTTCTTTCATGAATTCTGAGATTTGGGTTCTTCTTCAATGTGGATTCTTCGAATCCGCCAAATGCAAAAATAAAGAATAAAACAACTTCTAAGTAATCGAAATTACAACGATTAAAATTAATTTTTCTATTGTATTATAAAGAAAAATGAAAGGCTATTTCAAGATTCATAAGATATTTAGAATATATTGTACTGGGTAAAAACACCTCACTAAACATAGACACAATGATTTCCAAAAATAATCATTTTTTATTTTATGTATGTAGTATCATGCAGTAATATAAAACAATGAGAAGCATGAATTAAGTTTTGTAAAACATGTATATATGTATTGAAATACATATATGCTGAAATAAGAAATGAAGACGAATTATATTTTTCGATAAAAAGCAATTTAATTTCGATGATCTAGATAGTTTCAATTTATATTGTTATGATGTACGAAGATAAATAGTGTCACAAATATGGCATGAAATAATATTATGAAGGTATTATGATTTGGATTACAATGAAAAAATTTAATATTTACATTAAAATGAATGTATATACTACATATTGTAATTTAGAAATAGAAGAAAATTATAAAGTATACAACACATATTGTTATTAAAAATTTCATCTTTTATATTGCAGTATACCGCTAAAATTGTTAAAAATTTTTTTTTCATTCAAAAATATCTCAATATTAAACTGACTAATGTGCTCTTCAGATTTGAAATTGAAAATTCCCGGAGTAAACTTATTGAAGAAAATAGGAAATTTAAAATCATTTTTAACTTGAAAAAAAACTTCGAATGGAATAATTTATTTTAGAATTACATTAAAAAATTATATCATTTCTTATCAAAATTTCGGATGAGGTGATAGAAAATAATGAGGATAAACGCATTATTAAGAAATATATTCTATCTTTGATCAATTTTGTAGATAATAAACATTGTATTATATAACAAAACTACATATTTTTAAAGTTTTTAAAGTTACATATATTATTATTATAATATATATTGTACATCAAAATTTAGAAATTCTGATTCTATCCATGACAGTTTAATGATAGCACACATATACTATCTTTTTGTCTAAGAGCATATATTAAATAATATTCATCTTCTACCGTTAAATTAATCTCATCAAGAGAAACAACATATCAGAAAATTGAGAAACAAATATTCATAACACATATTAAAAAAAAATCTCTTGAAAAAAAATCAATAATTTATCTCATATATACACTTTCAAATAATACTATAAGATCATGAATCAGAAACAAGCAAAATTTATATATGAGAAATAAAAATTTTATACAAGGCATCAATTATCACCGTGATTTTTCAGGCATTCCATTTATAGAATATTAGAAGAATTGCGCAACAAAAACATTCAAAACATGAATATTATCAATGTAAAAAAAATTGAAACATCAAAATACACGAAGGAAGAAAATTTTGATTTTATTAATATTATATTAGCAAATCTGAACTCTATAATATTAATCGAAAGAAAAATCATATTCTTTTCTAAACTGTCTCAACATTTAAAATCTATCACATATCTTAGTTACAGAATTTAAATTAAATAACAATTATGTAATTTAATTAAATAAATATAATTTCATTTGTAACGATGGACCAAAAACGAAACAAAATAGGCAATTAAAAAAATATCTAACGCAAATATATATATAATCTAACATCATGCTGGAATCATCAATTACAAAAATGCAATAAATTTTTTATTATCTCAGCATACACCATACATATGTTCGAAAATAATTTTATTTATCAGTTTAAGTTGCTCGATATTTCAGTAATTAAAATTATATAAAAATAATTATTATTATTTAATAGCAGCCTAAGTAAAAAAAATCAAGAATAATAATCGACAATAATAAAGATATTGAAAAATTTAGCGTTGGATAAATCTAAATACCGCAAGATTCTTCTAATGATACACCGTTTTTTCAAATATTGTAGTTTTTGCTGCAACATAATTTTTTATCTGGGTTCATATTATTTCGATTAATTTCAATTCACAATGGTAAAGTGACAATCGAAGGATTATTTACATTTTTTGATTTTGTTCATCTATTACGTAAACGATTATATCGTAGATTTGAAGCTCATAGGAATAATTACATCTATTAAAATCCTTTGAATACGATCGCGGTGATCAAATAATGATTCACATATCTGCTATCTACTATCTGTTCAATGAATTCGAGTCATCAAATCGTATCAGTTGTAAACATATATATGGAATATATTTATAATTGTTATGATAATATTTTTCATTTCAGATTCTTCTGACATCACAGAGATTCTATCGTATTTTTACATTTCCATTATATACATACTGAAAAATTATTATAAAAAATAATAAATTCGTAATAAAATAAAATAATTCATAAATTTATTATGAATTTTAAATAATATGCATACCTTTTTATTCTAAATCTGATTCTGTATTTGATTCCAAAATGGCACTGTTATCACTGTTATTTATATTTATAATAAAAATCGATTATTGCTACAATTATATCATTTAATTGTCAAAATTTAGCTTTGACATGTGATATATGCTGATATATCAATTTTATCAATTTTCGTTTGTAATTATACATAATCATAAAATAATTTTTTCGTTATTTCAAAAATTTAAGTATTTTTTGCTGCGACATAATTTTTTACCTGCCCTATCATTTCAATCAGATTTAATTCACTTAGTGATTATGATTATATCAAATGACTATATTTTTTGATTTTGCTATTTCATCTGTTGCGTAAATGCGATCAGTTTTATGCTGCATTAATATTTTTTAAAAATTCCATTTTTAGCATATTATTACAAAAAGATATATTTTTAGATTGCAACTAAGTTCATTGTCTGTTTTTTACCATTTGGAATTTTTTGAAGCTATAAAGTTATCATGAATGAACGAGTTCTACATCAATTGCAGAATTTTGATATTCATTTTGATATACAAGTTTTAGCTAAAACTCTGTAAAATCAAAATCAATGAAGAAGGAAAAAAGCACGAATAGGAGAAAAAAATAGAATCCTTCTATTTCTTAAAACTTAATCCCCACTGAAAAATATTAAACAGTACATTCAATTACTTAGAACAGATTCCAGAGAACTTTCTCTCTAATTCCATCAACAACATTCCGTCCCCTGTTACAAGAACTTCGAACAATCTTTGATATAACTAACAATCAATTAACATGCATCATAGAAAATATAAACTAACAATAAATTTAATGCATTGGTTTTACAGCCGAAATGTTAAATTTTATAAATATTTAAACTTCAATTATTACTATTATTAACCATTTATGGCTATATATAAATATATAAAAATTTTAAAAAACTTAATATTTTGCATTAACATTAATTCTATTCTATAATTCATTTTTTTAATTATTCAATTAACAGAGGTGGAAAATTATTATGAAAAAAGACATTTAATATGAGCATATTGTTTATTCACCGTAAAACATCATTCAAACAGTCATAAAAATTTTGACATAAAAAAACAACAAACTTTTCATTATATATACAACATTATATATGCAACTACAAAAATACAATTGAACATAGTAT